AGCCCTAAACTCTACAGCCAAAACCCTGTGCCTGCGAACCGTAGAGAAGTAACAGCTAAACCCCAAAACCCTGAACCTCTTAGGCTCTAAAGACTCAGATTCTAAGGCTTCCGGGCCCAAAGACCATACTATATGAGGCTTCCGGGCTATTTTGAGCCCTAGGGAACCCTAAACATGTTGTCACAAAGACCCTGATACTTACTTGCCCAACAAGCCAGTGAAATGGAAGCTTAAACTTTCAGATTACTATTTAATATAAGAGCCCAAAAATTAAAAGGTTGGGTATTGGAGAACTCAGTCATACATCCCTTTCAAGCCCTTGCTCCAACCCTGAAAGACCCAGAAAAGACGACCCGAAGCCCTAGGACCGGTCCTAGAAAAACCCTTCATAGAACACTTGTAGATCCGTGAAAGGACCCTTGCAAGGAAACACAAACAACTAGGAGAAACAACAACACATCAAAACACAAAATTGCAAAGTTAATAAGCCCTCATAGGAGCACCCGTTCTAAAGCCCTTGGAAAAGCAACTGACAACCCTAAAACAGGCCAACTAAACCCCAACCTTCAACTTTATACCTTACGTCCTAAGTGCTGAACCCTCCACCCAAAAGAGCCCTTCTAAAACCCCAAAAACCTGCACAGACAAATGCCACCTGGGCTTTTGGAGGCCGGTTGTATGCTCCCGTGGGCCCCTACAAGGGCGGAGCTTTTTTACAGGTGTTTTCGCTCAGGGCTTACCTGGACGCTAAAGACCATACCGTTTTAAAGACTTATACAATGAACCCATAGTTCTTTATATAGGGTCCAGGGAAGCTTTGCGGTTTTGGGCTTGACGCTTGTTGAGGGGTTTCGGGCTTTCGGGGCGTGGAGTTTTAAGTTTTGGGTTTTGTTTTTGCTGGAGTTTTGGCATGGTCTGGGGGTTTTGGGGGTTGGGGTTTAAGTATTGGGGTTCAGGAGATCGGGCTACTACAGTACGATACCCGAATCCGAAGTAATCTGTACTGCATGCACCCGTACTCGGGGTTCTCATGACTTCTAGTGTAAGCTACGGGAAAGCCCTAAATCCCAACAACTCACAGAGCGCTTACCCAGAGAGCCCAATACCCCCCAAATTAGGACTATACTTGGAACAGTATAGCATCAAGGGCGTATAGTTAAGGCCATGGATTAAGATATACTGTGCTCTGTAGGAGTGGAGCAAACCCTGGCATAGGTAACTGGGCATCTACCGAGTTAATACAAGCACAGTATTATACCCCTAAGGGTCCACGCTGTCCTTATTGATAGTTTTGGGTACCCAAAAAAAGGCCGCATTGTCCGTAAACAGTGAGCACTGGGACGCTTGAGGTATTAGCTGCAATGCCAAGTGCATAGGAGACTAACATGAATGGCGCCGTTACAAGGAATAGAAACATTGTCACTGTGAATACTACCATCATAAACCCTAATCGGGGGAACCAGCCGGATCTGCTGGGCGACCTTGTGGACATCTTTCCACAGTGCGTTTCTAATGAAACGTCTAGACTAGCCGCCAGTGACCTTATGGTCATCTTTCAACGGTTCGTTTACCAACATTTTTCGCACGTTCAGAATGGCTGCTAGCCAGCTTCTAAAAGCCGCATACAACCCGAAACCCCTAAACCCTAAACCCCAAACCCTATAATCCCTGAGCTAACCCGAAACCTTAGAAAAACCCAAGGCCTGAACCGAAGACTCCTGCCCCCGGCGACATTCCTCAAGACTCAGATCCACCCCCTCCCCCCAAACTTAAATATGGTGGTTTCCGAACATTACGGTCCACGTTGGGGGCACCTATAGTAAGAATTAAGAGTACATTGTTTTTTTGGGGGGGTCCTTAGGAAATGGCCAAATAGGTCTAGATTCTCCTAGATCCCATAATTAAGTAATACTCCTCAGTTCTTCAGATATCGTAGGATCCCCAATATGATGTAAGGAGCACCCCTCCTTTAGGATTTGTTGGAAGATCTGGGTCGATACCTGCTTCGGGACTGAGGCTAAGGGGCTTCGGCTTTCCGGTTTAGGAGTCTAGAGGTTTAGGGTTGCGATTTAGTATAAGGTTTCCGAAGTCCTCTCCAAAACCTTGTAGACACACAGACACACACACACACACACGCGCGCCCGCATCATACTCCCCTGCGTAACCATTGGGCCTACATCCACATGTTCAAAAGTTCTAGAAAGATCATTGAACAAAGACTACTGGTATCGTAACCCCAAAATCGAAAACTTGGGTTTTTGGACCACTAGGTTTAAAACTCACTCAAACAAATCGACCGGGCCTGCTTCTGAAGGTTTTGGAGTGCTGCCTGCGAAGGAGCAACCGCTTCTTGTTGGAACCTTAAACCCTAACCCTGGTGTCAGGCACTCTCAGAACAGTTTTAGCACCTTTCTCGGGTCTATATTGCCTTCAAGGTTCATGATAACCCTAAGCCCAATACACCTTGAAGCCCTAAGCCCTTAAAGAGCCCCTAATGGAACCCTACTCCCCAAACCCCACAACCCCAAGCCCTTACGGTTTAGGGTTTAGGGCAACCCTGAACCCTAAACCCTAATCCCTAACCCCATAACCCCAAGCCCTTAATGGCCCCAAAACCCTTGAGGAGCCTCCGAAAGGAAGCCTGACGGTAACCTTTGGAGTAATAGGGTTTAGGGTTTAGGGTTCAGGGAGTAATTGTATCATTTGGCCCCAAAAAACCTGGAAGATAAGTGCTTATCTGGGCACATGGAGTGTCAGGGTTATGGTGAACCCAATGGACCCCTTTGAACGGTAAAGGCACACGTCTTTAGCAGCTGATGATCCAACTTCCCATTCAATTCTTCAGCCTTGCTAGTTTCAAGTAAATCAACTGGGGATTTGAACTGGTTGGCCGTCACATTCCAACCTTTCAGAACACATCCGCCGTCTCTTGCAACAGCAAGGGGGGTAATGAACGAGAGGAGGGCGCCCCTTCGGTCTGGCTACAGGAGCAGGGACAAGCGGGTGAAGCCGTGGCCAGCCTCTGGGGTTCCTGATGCCTTCAGAACAGGAGGCCAGCCAACCGGATTCTTTGGCCCTGCCTCGAATCCTATCCGCGTCCTCAGCAATGCATACGCGCTCGACTTCTTCAGCTTGGCATTTGGTTTCATCATCAGACAGCTTTCAAACCAAAGCCTCACCCAGTCGAGCTTCGCCCAAAACGACATTCTCCCAGGCTCCACGCACCCATATAGAATGACGCTGGATTCAGCTCCCAGCCAAACCGCTCGCAAGCTGTCTGCCATTCAGGCATTGACGGCTCTACCAGTTTCGGGGCTTAGGGGTTCGGCGGTTTAGGTGTGAATTATGGTTGCGCTTGGGGCTTAAGATCTCAGCTTTGACAAGGCCTTGATATAAGATTTGGTGGGGGTCAGTTGTAGTGTAGTTATACGGTAATATAGCGGCCTGGGGGTTTTGGGCTTGAACGGAAGATCTGAGCTTGATTGCTGTAAACCCCGAGCCCTAAACAGATACTGTAGGGGCTTATATAATTACCTCTGCTATTTTGGGGGCTCCTTATTTTATACTTACAGCATAATGGGGCCTTGAAGCCCTATTCTAATCATTAAGGCCCCTAAACCCGAAACCCTCATAGCAGCCCTGATAAGAACCCTTTAAAGCAACCCAATAAAGAAGCCCTATGAATCTATGAAACCCTACTCCAATTATGAAGGCCCCTTTACTACCTGCCTATAGTCTCCATTGTGGCTCTTTTTTGGGGATGCCTTAACAAATCCTAAAGAAATAATTACATAGTTGGTTAAATCAAAAAAGGAACTACGATGGAGACCATAGGTACTCTCATAGTAAACCCTACTAAGCCCTAAACCCTTTAGGGTTATTTAGGCCGGTTCCGGCAGAGCCGCCTGCGAGGTTCAAGATCCAGGGCTTGGGGTTAGGGTTTAGGGTTTAGGGTTTAGGGTTTAGGGCTTAGGGTGTAGTGTAAGGTTTCAGAGTTGTTGCTTGGTCCCAGACCGATTTCGTTTGGGGCGGTTCGGGGGTTTAGGTGTTTCAGGGTGGAGGGTGTTAATATATAGAGGCCTTAATGATTAGAAGAGGGCTTTGGGGGCTTCCTTATTATGATTATTATATAGTAGACCGCAAAAACACTATTCTAATTATTAAAGCCCTAGACCTTAAACCTTAAACCCTAAACCCGAGGCTACTAGGGTGAGCCGTCGACTTCTGGAGTAGACGGTGGAAGGCCGTACGTCTCAGGGTGTAGGGTTTAGGGTTTTGGGAAGTAACGGTGAAAGAGCATGAAGACTCGTGACAGACAAGACGCTACAGCAACGTAGTCACGTCCCTAAGCAATGAGCCCTTCTCTGTTCGGCCTGATCAGCCTTGCAATCCTGAACCCTAAACGCTAAACCCGAAGGAGCTACCGAATCACGCAGCTAAAATAGGGCCCTTAATAATAAGAATTGGGTTTAGGGGCCCACTATACTATAATCAATAATACGGAACCCCCCCAAAAACAAATATAGGTAATTATTAAGGCCCCTATCTTAGAGGATTGCGAGAATCAAGTCGCTAAGCTCGAAGGGTGGAAGCAGAACATTCAGCATCTGCGGCACCTGCAAAGGTGGTCGAAAAGGGTTGAGGAGAGCCGGGCTGTAATCTAGGGGCCTTGATGATTACATAATAGGGTTTGGGGCTCCTTCATAGTATACCTATAATAAGCAACCCTAAGGAATACGATGGGTAAGTATTTAGGCTTCTCTCTTAAGCGATTTAGAGTTGGGGTTTACGGTTTAGGGTTTAGGTTCCAGGGCTGGGGGTCTACTGAATCAGGGGGCTCTAGTTCGGGCTGAATAATATAGGGGTCTTAATAATTAGAATAGGGTTTCGTGGTTTATAACACTGTAAATAAAATCAGGAACCAACAAATAGGATTGGTAATTATTTAGGCCCTACATTGCCTGCGCCGGCCAACCCCGGTTCATGCCAGCTGAAATACCTTTTGCTAAGACCCGGGCTTGCATGGCCCAATGCACCAAACCCCATACTAACTCCAAGCCAGTTCAATCTGCCAGCCGTGCCCCTGAACCCCAAAAGCCTCAAAACTTAGAGCCCCAAAGCCATAACCCTTGCAGCATCAAACCATGTCAAAGACATTTCGGAACGAAGCGAATACCTGCAAGTACCAGTACCTAAACACCCAAAAGTAGGCAACTTACCGAACAAATGCTGACCCTAAACCCTAAACTCTAAACCATAAGACCTCTTTGGGGGTCCGGGTACGAACGATTCTGGGCCCCAAAAGTACCTAGAATAACAGCCTTTTATGGGTGTTGGGCCATTGCCTTTACCTACTTTTGGGGGGGTTGAGGTGGGCAAAGCCAAGACTAGCCACCACGCCGTCGCTCCTATCAAACCCCCAAATCCTGGCGGCTGGCAGTAAGGTTAGGGTTTAGGGTTTAGGGTTTAGGGTTTAGGGTTTAGGGTTTAGGGTTTAGGGTTTAGGTTTATAGTAAACCTCAAAGAATTGAAACCAAATTAATAACGATGAGTGCTGGGATTCCCTATGCATTACTCTTAAGGACTGAGGCTATTGGGTTGCCAACTTTTGGGCTTCTACTGTAGAGGGTTTTAGGGTTTAGGGTTTGGGGTTTGAGGGTTTAGAGTTGGGTCCGACATGTTGCTCAGGCAACGTTTAAGGCTTTGTGTGATTAGGGCTTTGGGGTGTGGGGGTTTGAGGGTGCAGAGCTTCAGGGTATTGGGGTTTCAGGACGTTAGGGTGTAGGGTTTAGGGGTTTCAGGACGTTAGGGCTTGCGTGGGGTTTTAGGGTTTTGAAGTTCAGGTGTTCACTGGTTTAGGTGTGGACTTAGCCTTAGAGCCCTGCCGTGAAAACATGTCGGACACAAACTAATACCTGCCAGGACCTACTACTGCTCGCAGACTCCTCACTCGGACGTTAACTCCCGAAGCCCTGTGCTTTGGAGACCTAAACCTCTGGAGCCTAAACCCTAAACCGACAAAACCCTAGACCCCAACCCTAAACCCTAAACCCTAAACCAACCAACCAACCTAGACCCCAACCCCGAAATCCTAACCTCCTGTGCCTTGGAGACATTTCGGACGACGATGGAATCCTTCGTGGCTGCATCTGCCGGGATGGATGCCAAATCGAGCTGGGTCTCCGAGAACTCGAGGCTCCTTGGGTTAGGATTTTAGGATTTGGGGTCTAGGATTTTGGGGCCTCAATCATGGAATCAGAACAAGGCTTTCAGGGACTGTTATAGTGTATTAAAGTTATTATAGGGGCCGCAAGAAGTACACTATAGGGCTTTCGGGGGACTGGTGATTACAGTGTAATCATATGGGTAGTTTTCCAAATTAGGGTCCCTTTTGGGGTCCCCAATATAGTACGGCACCCTTATGAAACGGACTCCCAGAAGGGACCCTAATTTAGAGAACTACCCATATGTTCTATAAGCGTCACTACAAGGGTGCTCCAGGTGCTCCTATACGGGGGTAACTATAACGAGTTAAGGCTTCGAGCTTGGGTGTTTAACTCGTGTTCCATTACCCGAAGGGTCCAAAGAACCCAATAATTAGATACTCGGTTTTAGGACAGTAGTTATGTAGGTTAGGATTTTGGAGAGTGTATGATTATTAGGTACTTGGACCCTTGGGGTTACCTTTAGTTGTTCTTGATACTGCTGTCTGGTTGCTTGTTAAATATATTTGGGGTTGTTGGTACTACTACTACTACTACTA